GCCTCCACTGAGAGAGGTCAGTGAACGGAAGTCCCGGCCTGGTAAAGGTCATGGGCAGGAAGGAAGGCTGCTGCCCTGCAGAGGGAGAGAGTTGGTGAAAAGAAGCACCTGCATAGTCACAGGTGGGCAGACAGAGTGCTGCCGATCCCAGTGAGATTTTATTGTCTAAATGATCCTAAAATTCAGCTGAAAAAAAAAACAACATTGTTTTCATAACAAAAAGACCTAACATTTACCCACCACTCACCATGTACCAGACTCTGCCCCCAAAGACTTGCTATGCATCATTTCATCTCATCTTGACAAAAACACCAAAAGGTAAATACCGTTATTATCAACATTATACATACAGGGAAGCAGAGACACAGAGAGAAAAAAATATCTTGACTAAGGTTACACAACTAGTAAGTAGCTGACCTAGGGTTAAAACTCAGGCTGGCTGAATGAACCCACATTCTGTGAATTTAATCACTCTGTCCTACTGCCAAGAAAAGTTTGAAGATTAATGAGCTGGGACTTGTTTTCTACCAGATATTAAAATGCATGAGGTAGTTATATCAACTAAAATAGTGCAATTTTGACAAACCTACCAGAATACAGAAATAGAGTCATCTTAGTGTCAATAAAGGTAGCCTTTCAAATTGGTGGAAAAAGATGAAGTTGGCACTCTGCCTTCCTCCTTAAACCTAAATTCCACTTAGGTCAAAGATTTATATCTGATAAAAGAAACGATAAAAGTATTGGAAGATAAGAGAAGTGAATAGTTTCATAACTGTAAACTGAAAGTTGTTCTAAATATATTACAAAAGAAGAAATTCACCAAGTAAAAGCAATAGACCTAACTACATAAAATCAAAACTTCTAATGTGGCAACAAAACACTACACACAAGTCAAGACAAGCAATGAAGTTGGGGAAAATATTTGTCACATATATGACAAAGAGTTAAGATTTTTAATAAACAAAGAGTTCTTGAAAGTCAATACGAAACACCTCAATAGGAAAATAGGCAAATAACAGTGACCTAAACAGACAACTGACGAAAGGAAAAACAAAAATGGAAATAAATACTTGAAAAAGCGCTCCAAACAACAGTTCTCAATTAGTAATCCCAAACTGCAGATAAAAACAAAATTGAGATGGTATTTTTCAACATATCACACTAACAAAGGTTAAGAAGATTGGCAGAACCCTGTGTTAACAAGGATATATGGGAAGGAAATGGGTACAATTTATGCACTATTGATGGGCATGCAAATTCATTGTCACTTTGGGAGACAGTTTAGCAAAATGTAACAAAATTATAATGGGAAAGCCCTTTGAACTGGTAATTCACTTACAGAGATTTATCCCAGCCAGGAAATTAAACAAATGAACCATAATCTATGAATAAGGTTGCTTATAGAATAGTAAAAAACCTGGAAATGCCTTCAAAGGCTATCAAAAGTGTTAAATAAATTGTGGTAGTCCAAACAGTAAATCACTAGACAGCCTTTAAAAAAATAATATAAACATTAACTGACATGTGTCTAGGCCTCCCTGGTGGCATAAAGGGGCTAAGCACAGTACTATGAAGCTACCCGTAGCCTCTGTAGCACAAGTTTGATCCTCGGCTGGCCAGGGAGCTACCCACATGGCACAGCAGATCTCTCCTGTCTCACCCACTGGTCCCCTCAGCAGTGTATTTCAGTCAGTCTGCCTGTTCTGTTCCCCACTCTATCTCTGGAGAATCCTCTCACCCTGCCTCCCACCTCTGGCCTATACCCCAGTTCTTATATGCATAAATAAATCTTTAAAAAAATGTTAAAAAAAAAAACTGGACATGTGTCTAAAACATGAGTGAAAACCAGATAGGTGTTTATTCTGAACCCTAGTTTATTATGGAGGTCAAATGAAAAAAGTTTGCATAAAGCGATACTGGAGAATGGTGATTAACTATGGGTAATGGAATTTCCAGTAATTTGTCATTACTTCTTTAAATATTTCTGTATCGCTTAAATTTTTTACCATCAAAGTAATGTTTACAATCAGAATATTCAATAAGTCTCAGCATTTTGACTCAAAAGTAGCAGTTAGTTGAACACTTTTTATACAGCCTAGGAACTATATTTTCACATTTATTCCTTACCTCAACCCCACAAGGAAGGTATTGTGCATTCATTTTACAAGAACAGAGACAACCCTATTCTCAGAAAGATTCAGCAACTTGCACTGACTATATCAGGGTTTGAACACAGGTCTGGCCGACATAAGAGCTCTTTCCATATTGCCACACTGTTACTAATAATTAATATTGCTATTAGTATTTAATAATATACACCTCTTACTGTGTGCCAGGCACTGGGTAGATATTTTCTTTAATCCTTTCAGCAATTCTGAAAGCAGTAGGGCTGGCATTAACCCTCCCAACAAAGTGTAATTGCTTGCTGGAGTAATAAGTGCTAACCAGGTTTATCGAGCTCCAAAACTTCACAGTTCTATTTTGCCACATTCCTGCTGATCTAGTAGCATACTGTCTTCACCTTGATATATTATTATTTGCCCTAAGGTCTCTGCTCCCTACATCTCCATCTTGTAGCTTTTTGGTTTGATTGCAGTGCTTAAATGTAGAGTATGCATTTTTTAATGTAACGGAGATGTTTACTTTTACCATCTAGTATTTAAACAAGTATATTGTGAAGTCTTAGTTTATCTGCTAATTTCTGCCAGCTCAGAAGCCTTGTGGCCTCTCTTTGGCAGTATAAAACCAAAACTCAGCTGCTGGGGTCCCTCAGTCTGGCTGACCACCAGGTTCCCAGCATGCCCTAGGCTCCCTCCATTTATATCCCTCTTGGGTTTTTCAGCCTAAACCCCAGCACTCAACAGAATGCCTGGCCCTAGTGGTGTTCAGTAAATGCTAGCCGAAGGGCGGAAAGAAGAAAGCTCTACACCATGAAAGACAAAGATTTCAACCAGGCGGTATGAAAAGGGGCCTTGGAAGCTGAGTGGAATTTAATTGAGCAGAGATGAGGTAAGGCTTTCATGAAAGCAACAGGCTTGCAGTCAGTCACCTAGAGACCTCCCTCTGTGCTGTGCTGTCCAGCTTTACAAAGTGCTTTCACATAATAATTACATAATAATTGGAACAGCCACCATTTACAGAGCACTTGCCACACGCCAGGCACCGGGTACTTTACATATTTGCTTTCTTATAGATGTCTTTTCAAGTGTGTTATGATTATCAGGATCCCCAGGATTTTACTTTCTGTTGTCTGCACACAAAGGGTAAGGTGTTTATCCTGTTGTGTTCAAAACAGTCCCTGACAAATAAGTCTCTGAACTTTCCTTGAGTCCCATGAAATAAGAATCACTTTACAGATGAGCAACTTGAGGCTTACAGAGGGGCACCATTTCCAAAGGTACAGCCCCCACAAGAGAACAAAACTAAAGATCTACCTCCCTCCTCCACCCCTTCCTCTACCAGTCCTGCCCTTGAAGCTGGGAGCCGAGATCTGCCTGCTGGACTCCTCAGGTGACTGACAATGATAACAATACTGAAATAATGAACATTCACTGATAAATTTTGACTCACCGCATTATAAGAAGTATTACTGTGCTCCCTTTCCCACTGCAGGTTCAGAAACTTTGCCATAGTCACATAGCCAGTAAATGGTGAGTTCAGAATTCACAGTCCAGCCCACGCTCTCACCACAGCTGACGCTAGCTCTGTACCGTGGCGAACCAAGAGCCAGAGCAACGCGGCAACCTGGCCTTTCCAGAGCACCTACTAAGGCCAAGGACAGGCTGTTTGGCCACCAGGCATGCACTTGCTTTACTTTCATGTTCTCTTTTAAACCTCAGAATCAGCCTGTGAAGGTACAGGTGAGGAAACAAGTTCTGTGACGCTGAAAGAATCAGTCTCAGAAGAGACAGAAAGCAGATTAGAAGCTGCCCTGGTCCACTGGGTTGGGAAGAAATGGGGCTAAAAGTTAACGGTGGGGATGGCAGCACAACTCTGTGAATATACTAAAAAAAAAATGTTCTATACTTTAAGTGGTGGATTGTATCGTGGGTGAATTATATCTCAATAAAGTTTTTTGTTTTAAAAGGCAGAGGGCATATAGAAGGGAGTGGCAGTGGTGAATTTCCTAAGGCTTCCGATCAAAAACTTGGGCATCACTGAGGCCTGTCCTTTCTTTCTCATCTCTTCACATCCAGTAAACAGCCATCAATATGTTACCACTTTTCTTCTCTCCCACTGCCTGGTCCAAGTCACCATCTCTCATCCCAACTACCACACCCCTTGCTAAGCAGTCTCCTGGCCTCCCCTCACCTAACCTCCCCCTTGCTTCCTATGCCTGTTCTCCACAGAGCAACCAGAGATCCTTTTAAGACATTCCTGTCATATTTCCCTCTTTTGCCTAAAAGCTTCCAATGTCTTTAAAATTCATTTACAATTCAGGATGGGCCCTGGTCACCTTTCCAACCTCACTGGCCACTAGCAACACTTGCCTCCCTGTCCCCAAACATATTCCCACCACCAGGCTTCTGCAATGCGGTTCTTTTCTCTTTTTCCCTAGACACCTCTTCCTCCAGGCACCAGCTACTCCCACACTTGCTCCTGAATTTCACTTGGGTTCTGCTCAGATGTGGCTTTCTCTATGGAAGTGTAGAAGCTGTCCCTGCCTCCCACTCTAACCAGCGACCACCTCCCTCATCTTGTCACTCTCTTACTCCTGACCTGACTCATTTTTTTGCAGAGCACTTCTCACCACCTGACACACTTCATCCTTGTTAACCATCTGTTTCTACCACTAGAACATGACATTCTGGGGACATGGACCCCTAGGATTCCAATAAATGAATGAATCGTATATCAAAGCCCTCACTCCCTCACTGCCCCTGGGATAATCTAGCAAATACAGTGGTCACTGCATTTAATATGCCCCTAACTGCAATGTGGCTCCTCTGTACCCCATTAGTACCTTGTGTATGTCACTGATGACTTTGAATTGTACTTACTTGTGAACAGAGATAATTCTCTGTCAGAGTGGGAACTCTGAAAGGCAGGATCCTGAGTTGTAGCCTAGACACCTAGCACAGGGTCTTGAACAGCACATGGAGATCTTCTGTTAACTGGACAAGGAAGATAAATTTCAAAAACAATGGAGAAGTGTAATTTTCTGTTCCCAAACACAGCACAGGGGCTCTTCCAGCCCAACTCCCTGAAACATGTCTTGGCCTCATTCCTAGGGAACCAAGACCTTGAAGTCAAGTTCAAGTGCTCCTTGGAATGCCTTGGGTAGTGAGCTGTGCCAGGGAAAGCTCCTTGCAAAATGGGATTTGCCAACTGAGCACAGAAAACCTGTGGGAACAGCAGGCAAACAAAGCAGCATTTAGTAAAATTGTTAAATTGCTTTCAGTTATCTCGAAAATAGTAGCTTAGGAGGGCTCTAGGAGAAAATGCCCCAGTGTACAAGGGGCTGTGCTTTGCTAACTAGAGGATGTGCCATGGAATTGAGACCCTTCCAAGCCCTTTCTCTCTTCCCACCCAAGACTCCCAGGTGCACTCATCATGTGCTCATTCACAGTTCATGTCCCCCTTTGGCAGGCTTTCCCTCCTTCCCAGGTGGGCAAAACCCACCCATTATTCCAGAACACAATTCAAATGTTGCCTCCCTTTTGAAGCCTTTCTCCAGCTTTACTGCACATTATTCCTTCCACTGGCAGAAAACACAGTGTTCTAAGCTGCAGGTGTCAGCACCTATCTAACCAGCCAATGTCCTAAGTGTCAAACTTAGAAGAGACAATAGGACATGCCTTCTGGGAACTTACTGCCTATCCGGGAGACCACAGCAGAGAAAATAACTGCAAGTGGGGAAGAGAGCTAAGAAGGATAAGGAGAGATGCTACATACAACCAGGTGGATATGGGAGGAAACATAATGGATGGTTGGGAAAGGCTTTTTTAGAAGGTGTGACATTAAACCGGCACCTGATGGATGAGTAGGAGTTAGCCAAACAAAGAGAAGTTTCCAGAAAGAGGGCACTGTTCATATAAAGAGACCAAGGCATAAAAGGACTTGGCATATCCCAGGCACCAAAAGGAGGCCCATGTGGCTTCAGTTTCAGAGGAGAGGGCTGGACAGCAATGTGAGGAGAGGAGGCAGGCCCCTCGCAGGGCCTACTCGCTCTGAACTTGGCTGGTTCTCCCTCCTCTCAGAAGGGTAGGAACACATTTCACTCCTTCCCAGTGCAAAGCAAGGCACTGGCTGCATAATCGGCATTCAGTCAGTTTCTGTGGGCCTCACTGTCCCATGATGTGGGTAAGCAATCTCTCGCTCTGCCCATTCCCCACCCCAAAAGCAAATCCCCAGTCAGCTCACCTAACTGAAGCACCCAGAGACGGTTAACCACAAGTCTGTGATAGTGGAAACGGGAACAGCTGTGAGAGTTACAGTTACATACTTGACAAACGCCACTACAACCCAGTTGGCAGATGTGACCACCACATGGTCCCTGGAGACAAGATTCTCCAGGGTAAACTTCCATCAGATGGCAACTCCAGTACAAGGGAGCCTGCCAAAATCACATGCCCCAAGACTCCCCTATCAGTGTGAAGTTCAAACTACAGTTTCCAAGGACAACTGTTTTTATTCACAACACTTCTGACAATGAAATGTAAGGGCTTTTTCCTCTGCCACATGACCAATTCTCCAGACACCAGCTGCTTGAACTACCAATTCAATTCTGACACTAACTACTGGGTGGAGTTAGCACAAACCAAAGGCTCAGTCAGTCCCCACAAGACCTGCTTTACTTTACATCCCAGTCACAAGTCCCAGATTGCTACTTATACTGACCCAGCAGCCATAAGTGGGAGGTTCCCAGGATCCTCTTCTCAGGTTTGATAATTATTAGAATGGCTCACAGAACTCAGTGAAGTGCTTCAGTTTCTATTATCAGCTCATTACAAAGGATGCAATTCAGGAACAGCCAAATGGAAGAAGTGCGCAGTGCAAGATATGAGGTAGGGAGCCTCACACCACCAGCCCCCTGTTGGTTTAATCATTTGGTGGTTGATGATGGCTCAATCTCCATGAAGGTGGGGGAGGGGAAGGAGTTGAAAGTTTCTACTCCGTAATCACACAATTGGTTCCTCTGGTAACCAGCTCCCATCTGGAAGCTATCAAGGGGCCCACACAGTCGCTTTATCAGCATAAACTCCGGTATAGTTGAAAGGGGCTTGTTAGAAATACTGAAAGATAATCCTATAACCCCCATCACTTAGGAAATTCCAAGGGTTGTAAAAGTTCTGCAGGGACAAAGACCACCTGTCCATTTCTTACTGTACCATACACGGTTTGAGTAATTTCTTGATTTTTTTTTTTTTTAAATCCAGAAGATGAGAAGACAACTTAGTGAGTCAGCAGGAATTTCCCAGCTGCTTTACCCTGTTTTTCCCGATAGCCCACCTAGAATTCTGTCATTTTCAAGAACACACTCCTAAGTCTTCAAATCACACTTTGAATGCTTGCTTTCTGGTTAATGGATTCTGAACTACTCCAAATCAACAATTACTTGGGCTGAGAGAGTTCTGGTTTGTGACTCTCGAAAGGAAAGGCAGATATAGGAAGATATAGCTTGAGGGTCTTGTATGAAGAAAAACAATTGTCTGCCTAAGTCACATAGGCCATTGTCTTCTCTGTGCTCTTTAAATTTGTTAGGTTTTCTTTTTTAAAGAAAAAGATTTATTTATTGGGCCCCCCCGGTGGCACAGCGGTTGAGCGCTGGGTTGTGCAGCTTCCCGCGGCCTCTGCAGCACCGGTTCGATCCCCGGCTGCTCCCAGACCACCGGAGGGTCCCGCATGACGCACAGACCTCTCCTGCTGCCCGCTGCTCCCCTCAGCAGTGTACTTCGGTCCTTCTACCTGCTCTGCTCTCCCCTCTGGCTCTGGTGAATTCTCTCACCCTCCCGCGCTTCTGACTGTACCCAGTGCTTGAATAAATAAATAAATCTTTAAAAAAAAAAAGATTGATTTATTTATGCATACAGGAACTGGGGTGTAGGCCAGCCATGGGGGTATGAGAGGATTCACCAGAGAGAGGGAGTGCGGAGCAGAACAAGCAGACTTACTGAAATACACTGCTGAGGGGAGCAGTGGGGGAGACAGGAGAGGTCTGCGGAGCCATGTGGGTAGCTCATGTCACAGGACCGAACTCATGTCGCAGTGGCTGGTGATAGCTTGATAGCGCTGAAACTTTAACCCTGTGCTACCAGGGAGGCCCTGTTTTGTTTTGTTTTTCAAGTATTATACTGTGATCTTGTCTATAATTGTTCATCATGTTTCCCTTAAGTACGGGTTACAAAGGATTGCAGGAACCGTCTAGTGCAATCCTACCTCTTGGTTATAAGGCTTCACAAATGCTACTCCTCTAACCCTGCACAGATTTGCTCCCTGTCCTCTTGTCTACTCTTTGCCCTCTAGAGGGTACTGTATATGCCCTTTCTTTGAAAGTCCTTCCCTTATTTACCCACCCAACCTAAGGTCCCCATTATTCTTTTATCATTGCATAGCATTTGTCTAATTTCAAGTGCAAGCTCCTTGTGGGCAGGGGCCATGTCAGTGTTGCTCATGTGTACGTATCCAGTTCGCAGAACAGCATGGCACATTGTAGGCACTCAACACGTATTTGTGAAATGGTTAGCAATTTTTCTATAGAGCCCTAGGATTTTATGAACACAATCATTCAACACTAGTTTCAACTGTCCTGGATCTTCTCAACACAGGGCCCCATCATAGCAATAAACACATTTTTTTGATGTCTGCACTAGTCCACATACTGATGTTCTTGTTTCTTTAAATGTATAACTAATCCTTATAATGGCCCTGCAAAGTGGGGATTATCATTCCATTTTACAGATAAGAACCCCCAGGTTCAAGTAAATTAAATTCCTCAGCCACATGCTAGTAAGAGACCAAGCAACCAGAATTCACACAACCAGAATTCAAATCCAGCGCAGAGTAGAGGGTCTGCGCCCTTTTACTTGGTCACAACATCTCAACTGGGGTGTTCAACCCCCAGGAGTATATGCCAGGAGGCCAATACAGAAGGGACCACAGACTGATGAGTGGCCCATTTTTGGTATTTTTTCCCCCAATGGTAAATAACATAAAATACTTTTGTGTTAAAAAAGAAGACATGTTTTAAAGTAAACTGTGTAACAACATTAATGCAATTAAAAAACAAAACACAATAGTTATGTTTCATGCCTGATGTCTGGGCTAATCTCAGGAAGCTCCATGGAAAAAGGAGAAGCACTTACTTGTTACTCTATCTTCTTCTTCCACCCCTTTGCCTTGTTGCTATATTTTTTTAAATGTCAGCATTCAGACTCAGTCTGCACTTTCCACTCCCATCCTCCTTTCACTAGAAAAATTTAAATGTTTAAAGAAAGTGGCAGAATGAGCCATAGACAGGTCACTTTCAAAAGCATCAGTCATGTATGAAGACACCTTTTTGTAGGTACAATAAATCTGATTGATTTTTATTACACATCTTAGTTTAGAATCACTTTTACATTCCTAGACAAAGAGATGATACAAATAAATATCAATTGTAAAACTCAGAACCCCAAGTATTGGCATATTCTTTGTCTAAAGGTAGCCATAGAGAAGGTCAAGATCAACAGTAACACCAAGGAGCCATAAAGCCCACTGCCTCCTGCCTGTCCCAGAATCACTCCTTTCATAAATAACCTCAAAAGCATTTCATTCAAGAAACAAGGGCAGGGGGAGGTGGCAGATGTCCGAACAGTACAAGACAAAACCTTGCGCGACAGACAACGGCCAGGCCCACTGTTCTTATCCAGTTCCCTCTGAGCATTGTGATTATGGCTCTTAGAGTGTATTAATAGCCCCATTTTCATCCACTGACGGTGTTCAGAAGGGCCCAGGTGTAATTCCCAGTGAGCCTCGACCTCAAGTGGTAAATGGAAGGCAGAACTGATATCCGCATTAACAGGGAATCGACACTTCTCAGAAACTTGGCAACAATTCTACATTCAGTGAGGGAGGACTTACAAGAGTCAGACAGGAAATGCAGAGAGTGGCCCATGCCTGAGCTGCAGAACTCTCTGATGCCCTTGGTCATGGAGGTGTGGGTGGTGCAATTCAAGCAGCATGCAGGCATTCGACAGAAAACAATCCAACATTAGGTCAGTCTTAAAAAAAAAGTGCTTCATGCCTATGATTTGTGGCCTTGGGTTCTGAATCCAGGGGTCTGGGAGACATGTGGGTTTAAAATATGAAGCCAGGTACATTCCTACTGATCAGAGCAAAAAGGGCCCTGATGAGGGTTGCACCCACAGTCTCAAACTCCTTCTCCCAGACAATCTTCTTAGATCCTATTAGACTTGCTTCCAGACTTTACTAGCTGCTGCCAGCATGAAGGCCCTCAAATAGCCTGGAACATTCTAGCACTACAAACATGAAAACCTGGTTCCTCAGTGGGCTTGGTAAGTTCTCTATGTATTTGGCTCAATTCAGAGCCCAAAGCAGCAGCTTGCTGGTAGCAGCAAGACGTACTATGCCTGATCTACGCAAATATTTATCGGATCCATTTTGAGAGAAGAAAAGCACCAGAGACTGCTTGGGAAGGGACAGCTTCACCTGCACACAGGTGGTTTCCACTTTGCTTCACAGACCAGATGAACACAGCGGAGTATAAGGCAAGCTTGTTTTCCTAACCCTGCCTGTCCACTTGGCTGCCTTCTTTTGCTCTCAGATAACGGTTCTAAGGTCGCTCAACCACCCTTGGTCAGAAAAGCCACCTCAAAATGTCAGTATTAAGTCTAGTGTTATCTGCAGATAACAGATTTGCTACTTGAATATTTTCTAAAGAATTCAGACTAGCTTTGAGGAAATGTGGTGCAACAGACAGGTGTAACTGGCAGACAGCCATCTTAGGCTATCCACCTTATTATCTGGTTCCTATTCAAACAGGCAAATTCTCAGTAAATAAAAAAGAAGCAGGTTTGATACCAAGAAAGATGAGGGAAGGCTCCATTATGCTCTGGGAATTGCTTAAAAGGACACTGGGTTCAGAAAGAATGGTTACTACAAAGGAGAGAAGCTGCCAGATGACAGATCTCCAAGAATAGTATGCTAAGACATTGCACTTGGTACCTCCTCTTTCCCATGGGTTCTGATCCAGAAATGTGCCCTGGGAACTGAGCAGCTGAGTTAAAATATAACTCAAGGCCCACCTGAGTCGCCACCTTCCTGAGGCACCGTGCCAGCAAGGTGCACCAGTGGGGCAGACCTGGGGACTCACATTGTCCCCTCAGGCTTGGCTCATGGATTCAGACACCCACATGGGAGTGCTTCCAACCTGGGTTAGTCATTCAATGGGCTTTTAATACAGACAAAGGCAACAACTGCACATTAGTGTACTTCTAAAACTGGGCAAGTTCTTGGTCTCTCTCTCTCTTACACACACACAGGACACACTCAAAGCACACAGGCACCACTGTGCTTACACACCCACACACATTTATGTGCTCCTCTTGGGGGGGAAATGAATAACATTCACCTAATGACCAACATAAAATGAAGCTTTGACTTTCAATAACACAAAGAACTAAAACTTACAACCAAACTAGTATATGTAAATGGGAATTCCTAACTCTCTCCTCTGAGCCTATTCAACTGCACAGCCACTATTCTGCCCACCATCTTAGACTCTGCCCAGGGGAAGCCACGGTTCTAGCATTCAGTGAGTCTTCTGCTGAAGGCAGGCAGGATTCCTTTGCTTCCATCTGTTGTCCTTCCTTCCCACTGCACTGAGCCTCATGACTCTGTCTCTGCACCTGCCTAGACCCTTATGTTCTCAATGCAAATAGGGAGTAAAATGGGAAATTCAAAAGTGCCTCTGTAGATCTTATTCCCTCAGCTCTTGTCCCACTGGAGAAGGCAGAGCCTGCCTCCCTTCTCCCACAAAACAAACTCAGTGCAGAGCATGCTCTTGAGGCAGAGGATGGGCCAGGCAGGGACGCTAAGAGTACACATGGAAAAAGCTGGTGACAAATGAAGAGTAAGTGACATGGTGTGTAGACGTGGTATTGGCTTACAGATTTAGGTCTTTGACAAGATGGTCATGGTTTTGAGGTTTTAAAGAAGCTATTTCCCTAAACTCTCCAAGGAAGAAAAGGGGATGTTATTTCTATTGCTTCTGACATTGTGTCTTTCAGGAGCAGAAACTGATAGCTTCCTTAGAGAAGATTTCCTCATTCAGCAGATCCCGAAGGCAGATCTGCTTCTTACTGAGGTGCAAGGATGCAAGATAGAAGATCGTGCCCACCAGGAGCTTGGATCCAAATGAGACTTCTCATTTCTACCTACAAGAGCACGCACCTATTCAAGTTCTAGAGCTTTCACTTTTCAACCTCACTGTCATTTTACCCTAAGGCTCCAAAGACTTGGTCCTCCTAAGGTGACTCCAGATTCTGCCCAACTGTTTAACAAGAAGGGAGGCCAGTGTCAAAAACAGGCTAGAAAAGGAGAAGGAAAGGGAGGGAGGGCAAAGGAAGAGAGTGGAGAAAAAGGCAGGGGAGAAGGGAAGCAAGGTCACTGGTCATTCTCTTGCTTTCCACTTCGAATATCGCACGTTACCTTACCCATGCATTTCTGAGATGCTATTTAAAAGACGTTTCCCAGAGGAGCTGTGTGCCAGATTAGGACCAGCACATTTCAACCAGATTAAGTTGGTTAATTTGCAAAGAGGCCATCTTGTCTCCCCAGGGGAATGGTTCTGAGTTGGGCTCAAGCCCTCTCTGCAGGTTTTTGTTCGTCTCTTCTCTCAGAAGGCAAATGCTGTTTACACCCTGGGAGAGGAGGAACTGGCTTTACTTTGGAACCAGCCCTCGAGACTGTGGATAAAGCTGAGATGTAGAGGTTCCTGAGGAAGAGGAGGAGGATCCTGACTTCCTTCCACTTTTAGGTCTGCGAAAGCAAAGCAAAAGTTTACATTACATATCTCATTCCTGGCTCTGACAGGTCAGACTACTTTACCATCAAATTTCAAGGTGGTCTTTCCTCAATGGCCTGGAAGCCAGTACACTTTTAACTATAAAACCACTAGACTGGGCCTCCCCGGTGGCGCAGAGGTTGAGCACTGGGTTGCGAAGCTGCCGGCGGCCTCTGCGGCGCCGGTTCGATCCCCGGCTGCTCCCCGGCCACCGGAGGAGGGTCCCACATGGCGTGCAGACCTCTCCTGCCGCCCGCTGCTCCCCTCAGCAATGTACTTCGGTCCTTCTGCCTGCTCTGCTCCCCGCTCTGGCTCTGGTGAATTCTCTCACCCTTCCATGCTTCTGACTGTACCCAGTGCATGTATAAACAAAACAAAACAAACAAACAAATAAAAAAAATAAATAAACATGCCTCTATATAAAAAAAAAAAAAACCACTAGACTGGCACAGCCTGCCGCTCCACACATGGCCAACGTGAGTTGCCAACCAAGGAGTGAGACCTCCGGGAAGGGTCTCTGATTTTCAGCATTTGTTCTTCCATTAAAATAAATTCTTTTTTTTTTTTTTTTAAGATTTATTTATTTATTTATTTATTTATTTATTTATTCAAGCACTGGGTACAGTCAGAAGCGCGGGAGGGTGAGAGAATTCACCAGAGCCAGAGCGGGGAGCAGAGCAGGCAGAAGGACCGAAGTACACTGCTGAGGGGAGCAGTGGGCGGCAGGAGAGGTCTGCGCGCCATGTGGGACCCTCCTCCGGTGGCCAGGGAGCAGCCGGGGATCAAACCGGCGCTGCAGAGGCTGCGGGCAGCTTCGCAACCCAGTGCTCAACCGCTGCACCACTGGGGAGGCCCTAAAATAAATTCTTGACTGTCTCCTCCTAATTGGTTAAAAAAATGAAGTTTACAGGTAGAATTTCCTCCATTTTTTGGTTTTTACCTAGCTATTTTCCTTAAACTTCTAATTCAGAATTTCATAAGATAGGATTTCTAATTGAGCACCAAATCAAGTACTTGGTTATTTAAACGGAGGTGGAGGCTATTCAGCCCGGAGGCCCAGTGCCTCAACTGTAGAAACAGACCTTCGTTTGAACATGGGCTCTGCCACTTGCCTTCTGGGTTTCCTTGAATCTAGCTAATTTTTCAAATTTTCTAAGTCTCAGTTTCTCCTCTATAAAATGGGATTGATGGCGATATTTACTGCATAAGTTCTTGCAACAAAGTATTGAGAATTTTTTAACAAAAACTTAGAATTGCCTATAACCTGGTGATGACCATGTTCCCTATGTCACTAGAACACACGCTCTGTATGGTAGGAACTGGCCACAGGATACACCCAGCACACCTGGCAGAGTGCCCAAACGGTAGGTATTTGTGGAATAAATTAACAAAGGAGAAATAAGACAATATTTCTGGCAAGTTCCATGGTAAACAAGTACTCTCGCTGTCTCTTTTTTTTTTTTTTTTTTTATAGAGGCATGTTTTCTTTCTTTCTTTCTTTCTTTGTTTATCCATGCACTGGGTACAGTCAGAAGCGCGGGAGGGTGAGAGAATTCACCAGAGCCAGAGCAGGGAGCAGAGCAGGCAGAAGGACCGAAGTACACTGCTGAGGGGAGCAGCGGGCGGCAGGAGAGGTCTGCGCGCCATGTGGGACCCTCCTCCGGTGGCCGGGGAGCAGCTGGGGATCGAACCGGCGCCGCAGAGGCCGCGGGCAGCTTCGCAACCCAGCGCTCAACCACTGCGCCACCAGGGAGGCCCTCGCTGTCTCTATCTTGGTTGGACTGTGTTCAAACACCTTCTGTTCAAATCGATTACCAAAAGTCACTCACCTGGCCTTCGATTTCTTATTTGCAGTGCTTTCAAAGGATGAAGCATCCACCTGTATCTCATCTTCATCCTGCAGCGCTGCATCCAATGCAGCCTGGACTTTGGGGGCAATGGCGGGGCCTTCATAGTCTCTGGTAGTCCGGCTGGGCATATCCAGCTCTAATAGCACGATGTTTTCTGCCTAAAGAAGCACAGTCATAAATGGTTAGGTTGGCTTCCAATCAGACACAGAGTACAAGCAACCTAGACTCCCTCTACAAACACAACAGCAAATTGCATGCTACTCAGGGCCTACCAAAAGCCTGCCTAGAAGAAGTGATGTCATTTTATAACTTTTTTCCTGGCAGAATGACAGATGATTTTTATTTTTATTCTCTATGTTTTTCTCTATTTTCCTCCCCAACAATGAACATGTATTAGGCCCTAATGGGAATAATCAGGGGAAAATGGTATGCCCTATTCATTGTAGACAGTTTGAAAATACAAAAAGGTACAAAGAAAATAATCATCACTAATAACCTCACCACCTAGAGCAGCTTTGATGAATGCTGCGGCTGCTGCAGGGAGGAGGCAGGCTGAACATGTGTGCAGAGGGCATTCATAGCAGTGTGTGTATACCTTTAACACATTTTTTAAAAATCACATGGGGCCACCTCATAATTGGTCCAGATGCTTCCTTCACTTGATCGCCTATGTAGCCTTTTCTGGTTCCTACACACCCAGACAAATGCATAAAGGGAAGAGCACCCATGGTTTGCTCCTTCCCCTGGAACTCCCACTCGGTGGAGTTCAGCCCCATGACTCCAGAGGAGGCAGGAGGGGCTGCCACAGTGTTGAGATACTGCATAAAATCTCGAATGAAGCAGCTAATATTATCCGACACAGATTCAAATTCTACCTTTGAATCAGGTTAGCCCCCTTAGAATACACATAGTTGACCAGCAGCTTAAAAATCATGATTTTTGTCTCAAGACATGAAAGTACTACAAGGTACATGCTCTTGAAAATGTTAGGAAAGTGCTTCTGTGGATTCTGCTGCTACATCTGTCATCTACAATATATAAAATCCCAACTATTACATCTTGTTTTTTTTGTTTTAAGTAACTCAGTATCACGAGAAACAGCACATGAGGAGCTAAGCTAATCCTAGTCTGTTTTGCCCTGGCTGGCAAGGAAGAGTTAGGACCACTTTTAAAATTTTAAGTAAAATTCTTTTATTATGAAATACAGGTTGCCCATTGATCACTATAAGATACAGATGAGCAAAATGAAGAAAATTTAAATTGTGTGCACATTCATCAACCGAGATAAATAGTTCATATTTTGATGTATTTTACACCTAATTTTCTGATTCATATGTATAAATCCAGTACCAATTGTTTTACAACTAAAAATATTTGTGAATCCCACTTCATCCTTTTAGTGAGCTTTAAACCATGAAACTGGCGGCAGAGTAGGGGGGAGAGATCAGCCCCCTGAGAAGAGCAGAGAAAGCAGTAAGTGCTCAGCCCAGTGCCTGGCACACTGCATGTGTCTATTTATAATAGAAACTCACAAAGTATTTTTACTATAAAATATGTGTGGGTCATGAAACATGTCACTTTAAATAATACATGGCTGACACACACATTATGTTAAGTGGAAGTTCCATCAAGTTCTTCATGTATCTCCACCTCCTGTCACTGGACATCTACTTTCTTTCCAGTCTTCCTACTGAGCTATTTTAAAGTTTACTGTTAATGCCAACTGGCCATCATGGCCAGTGTGTTTGCATTCTTTTTCCCCTAGTCCTGACTTTCTAAATCTCATTCTACTTTACCTTTTTGTTTATTATCTGCTAAAAGATTTTTCAATCTTTACATAAATCTAAACTCTGAAGAGAGAGAAGAGAACAATCATCTCACCCTATATCGGGCCTCTGGACGAATCATCATAGACATTCTTGCATGTTGGCTCAATGGTCTCTTATATCCCACAGCTGAGACTGGCCGCTTCATCATCTGTTGATTCCTGAAAATGGACTGCAGTGGTTAAAGCCCTGGCTGGAGTGTGTGCCGCAGTCCCAGCACTGGTCCTGTGGATTTAGCACTCAGAACACCCTGAACCTGCCTTAGGTAGAACTTGAAACAAGTAACCCCCTGGACTGAGGGCTGACATGTAAATGGTGCAGCTGCTGCTTATATTTTCTGCTTGAGTTGCTTTCTGATTCAAATGTGAGCATCATGCATCTTTTAAGCTAGAAGGATCTGAGTCATCATCCATTTCTTAGATGGTAGGCATCAAACTTAGCTGTCAAAATCCCCACCCATGCATCCTTGGTAGACAGCGCCCACTTTCCCCGTAGGGCCCTGGCTTAGACTGAGAATCCTTCTTAACACTGTGTCAGAATGACACACAAGGTACATCTGTGTATTGGCCTTCATTTGGCCTAGCATACTACATTTGACAAATGGAGAAGGTGAAATGCAGAAACTTGGAAAAGATTGTCAGGTCATTGTGCTAAACCTCCCAATCCTAATACCAAACTTGTACAGCTCATGGACCTATGGCAGCCGCAATCAGAGATTCTACTGCTTCTAAGTTTAAGTGAATCAAACTATGTTCTTACCTTACCCCTCTGACTAAAGTCAGCTTACCTACATTCTTGCCCTCCTCCCCACTTTAAAATCTACTTAAAATCATTAGTGACTTACTCTAGTCTGGTTAGAGGATGTAATTTCCAATGATCTTCCTCTTCATCGAAGAAGGATCTATTCATAATTTTACTTTTTTCTTCCAGAGGGATAAAGTTTTCTATAATAAGATGCCTGTAAGAGCACATATACATGGGTGAATATAGATGGAGAAAGAAAACAAATGGAGTACTGGCTGTTAGATCCTGCATGTAGTGAGTGATCAGGTAAGTCCCTTAGCAAACATTTACTGAGCGGGTGCTATGGGCCTACCATCAGACAAAGAGCTAGGATACACTTGGTCCTGGCCTGAGACAGAGCTAATGGGATGGCCTTCTTAGGTATGACAGATGCTGATAGTGGTCTGCTGTAGGAATATGGAGAGGCCACTTGTGCCTGGGGAGGAACAGCTTGAGCAGGTGAAAGCACTGAAGAGGCAGGTGATGTCTGGGCAATACTGGAATGAACATGTGAACATGTGAAGTGCCTTTCACAAGGCCACCGGTGTTGCTAAACCCAGCCTATTAACTTACAAAAGGCTGAACACAGGAATTAAACTGCCTTTCTCCAATCCCATGGATTGGTTGCCCTAGCTGAAAAATGTCACTTTTTGGTGGAAAATATCACTTTTTAATCACTAGAACTAAGAGCAGGACCAAATGGATTTTAGTCTTTTAAAGCAGTAATAATGAAGATCATTCCCAAGAGCCTCTGCCCAAAAACCACCCAGGGAATCTGGCAAGCAATGAAACTGGAACCCCAAGGTTGTGTCTCTCCTGCCATATCTCTGTCTTCACCCTTTCAAAATCTTATGACAGAACAATACCATAGGGGTGTTAACTTGGGAGAGACACACAACAAACACCACAGAGGTGTAGGGTACTGACTGAGAAACAGGTTGACTCATTGTTTATTCAAAAGATACAAATAAGAGAGATAATACTGAAAATGGCTCCCTTAGGGGAAAACTACTTTTGCAAGATGACATTTTCTTTTTAATTTGACATTTAAGAAATTCTTTTTCATAACATATATTTGGGTGTTTTTTTTCATGATTATAAAGATTCTATATATGTGTTAAGGAATGTGAAAAATATAACTACACACAATTCTACTATCCAGCAATAGCTATTATTAATATTTTGGCATATTTGTTCTAATCTTTTTTCTAGGTGTAAAAACCTAAAAAGAGAACTAACACATTTAATTTTAAGGACTCATTTCCAGCTTTAAAACTTGGTCATTAAAAAGAATCCTTTTGAGGGTTAAAGACACAGTGCTATCAAGCTATTGCCAGCCTCTGCAACATGAGTTTGGTCCCCAGCCAGGGAGTTAACCCACTTGGCATAGCAGATCTCTTTTGTCTCACCCGCTGCTCCCCTTAGCAGTGATTTCAGTAGCTCTGCCTGTTCAACTCCCTACTTTGTCTTTGGTGAATCCTCTCAGCCCTCTCATCTCTGCCCTGTACCCCAGTTGTTGTATGCATAAATAAATAAATCTTTAAAAAATAAAAAAGAAAAGTTCTTCAATGATAAATTCCAGCCAATGATATGGAAGGACAAATACTTAAAAAAAAAAAAAACAACTCATTTTTGCAAACCCTAATGAAATAAAGACGTCAGACAAAGATCACTGTTGGTGGAAGTCATTAGCTGGGTGACATCCGTGTCACACGTGTAGACTCTTGGAAAATATCTTTCCCACGCCTCATGAGAGACCACGGGTTCTGAAAGCATGTTCTCCAAATTGGCAGGAGTACCAACCAGAACTTTTCAGAAATGCAAATCCTCAGGCTCCATCCAAATGAATGGAATAAGTCTCTCTGGGTGTGGGACTCAGCAATTCTTATTTATTTATTTATGATTTATTTATTTATTTACTTATTTATTTATACAAGCCCTGGGTACAGTCAGAAGCGCAGGAGGATGAGAGAATTCACCAGAGTCAGAGCAGAGAGCAGAGCAGGCAGACTGACGAAATACACTGCTGAGGGGAGCAGCGGGCGGCAGGAGAGGTCTGCGCGCCATGTGGGACCCTCCTCCAGTGGCCGGGGATCGAACTGGCACTGCAGAGGCTGCGGGCAGCTTCTCAACCCAGCGCTCAACCACTGCACTACACCAGGGAGGCCCAGCAATTCATATTTAACCAGCTATTCAGATGATCTGGCACCTACTAAAGTTTAAGCACTACTGCCCTAGACCAATTAAATCAGATTTCCTAGGGTAGGGACAAAGCATCACTTTTTTAAAACACTCCTCAGATGAAAATTTAAAAAACAACTAAAAAAAGCCAGGGGTGAGAGGGGTATGACTCCGATGACTTCAGTGTGCAGCCAAGGCTGACAACCAGTGCCCCAGAGCTAGCTTTCAGTTAAAGGAAAACAAGGGAGTCAGTGACACAAATTAAGTGACAGTATGAAGAACTGAACCAACAAACCCGGAATGGGGGTATCTCTAACAGGCTATCTGACCCAGCTTTTTTCAATAAGTTAACTACGAAAAGTTTTTAAAAGGAAAAGAGATTGCTGTAGATTAAAATAGCATTAAGAGACATAATAACCAGGGCCTTCCCGGTGGCGCAGCGGTTGAGCGCTGGGTTGCGAAGCTGCCCGCAGCCTCAGTGGCACCGGTTCAATCCCCGGCTGCTCCCCGGCCACCGGAGGAGGGTCCCACATGGTGCGCAGACCTCTCCTGCCACCCGCTGCTCCCCTCAGCAGTGTACTTCAGTCCTTCTGCCTGCTCTGCTCCCCGCTCTGGCTCTGGTGAATTCTCTCACCCTCCCGTGCTTCTGACTGTACCCAGTGCATGTATAAACAAAACAAACAAACAAATAAATAAAATAAACATGCCTCTATAAAAAAAAAAAAAAAAAAGATTTTAAGAGACATAATAACCAAATGTAATGTGTCATCTGACATAGATCTTAATATGAACAAACCAAGAAACTTTGAATATAGAGAGGGTATAATACTAAGAAACTTAATGTTAATTTTGTTAGATTTTTTTTTGAAAGATACGTATACAAAAATCAACTGCATTTCTACACATTAGCAATAAATATTCGGAAAATAAAGAAAATAATTCCACCTACAATAGCATCAAAAAATAAAATAGTTGTAAATTTAACAAAAATACGAAGACTTGCCTAATGAAAACTAGAAAACATTCTTGACATAAGATTTGAGAGCTAAATAAACGGAAACACATCTCATGTACACGGACTAGAATAATCAATACCATTAAAATGTGATAATACAGATTCAAACAGTCCTTATCAAAATCCCAGTGGGGGGCCTCCCTAGTGGTGCAGGGGTTTGTACACAACCTGTGGAGCAGTCCACAGCCACTGCAGCACGAGTTCAATTTCTGGCCGGCCAGGAAGAAACCCACATAGCGGGACAGACCTCTCCTGTCTTGCCCGCTGCTCCCCTCAGCAGTGTACTTTGGTCTGTCTGCCTGTTCTGTTTCCCACTCTCTCTCTGGTGAATCCTCTCACCCCCGCATCTCTGGTCTGTACCCCAATTCTTGTATAAAAATAAATAAATCTTAAAAAAAAAAAAAGGAAGGGCCTCCCCGGTGGCGCAGGGGTTGAGCGCTGGGTTGTGAAACAGCCCGCAGCCTCTGCAGCACCAGTTCGATCCCCGGCTGCTCCCCGGCCACCAGAGGAGGGTCCCACATGGCGCGCAGACCTCTCCTGCTGCCTGCTGGTCCCCTCAGCAGTGTACTTCGGTCCTTCTGCCTGCTCTGCTCCCCACTCTGGCTCTGGTGAATTCTCTCACCCTCCCGCGCTTCTGACTGTACCCATGGCTTGCATAAATAAATAAATAAAAATAAATCTTAAAAAAAAAAAAAAAAAAAAGGAAAAACAATGGCATCTTAAAAGAAAAAAAAAAAAAATCCCGTGGATATTTTTGCAGAAATTGACAAGCTTATCTTTAAATTTCTGTAGCAATGGAAGGGACCTGAATAGCCCAAAACAACAAAATTGGAAAACTCACAACTTACTCATTGTAAAACTTACTACACAGTTGCAGTAACCAATATAGTGTGGTACTGGCATAAAACAGATATATATATATGTAAAAGTATATCTGTTTTTTGACATATGTTTCAACAGTACTGAGAGTTGGGACCCTCACATATATGGTCAACTGATATTTGACAATAGTGCAAAGATGAAAGAAGAACCTTTTCAACAAACAGTGCTCGGACAACTGGACACTCACACGCAAAAGCATACATTTGGAACCGTACCTCAAACCATACATCAAAATTAACTCAAAATGGATCACGGACTAAATGCAATACCTAAAACTAAGACTCTTAGATGACCTAAGAAAGGTAAAAATATATGTCCACAATAAAACTTGAACACAAATGTTCATAGCAGCATTATTCATAATAGCTAAAAAGTAAAAACAACCCAAATGTCCATCAATGATGAATGGATAAATAAAATGTGGTATAGCCACACAATATTATCTGACCATAAAAAAAAAAAAGTACTGACATTCTTCAACATGAATGATCCTTGAAAACATCATGTTGAATGACAGGTAGTCACAAAACACCATTATTACTGCATGACTGAATTTACATGAAATGTCTAGCACATGCCAATTTATAGAGACATAAAGTCAATTAATCAGAAGCTACTTAGAGCTGGTAGAGGGGATAATGAGGAGTGATAGCAAGTCAGTTTCTTTGAGGGGGGACAAAAAAGTTCTAGAATTAGATTATGGTGATAATTAAAAAACTCTAAAAATACTTGTTTTTAAAAATGATCTGAATACTTTAAATAGGCAAACTGTATAGTATGTGAATTACATCCCAACAAAGGTTTTTTAAAAATATCATTGTGGTCATGTATGTAAGTATATATGTAGAAATGAGATTTGCTTTTAAATGTTTTTATGAACGATAGATGATAAAATGATAGATGACAAAATGTTAATCATTGAATCTAGGTGATGGGTTTTTGCATGTTCACAATACCATTCAGAAAACTGAAGTTAAAAGATTCCTCCTTATCAGTAGATAGAGGTGAAGTCAGAGTCTTTAAAAGCTTCAAAAAGGGAACAGATTATGTGGTGAAGCCATTCAATTAAGAAACAGAACCCAGATAAGGAAAATGATCTCAGGAACAAACACAAGCAGACAAGGAAGCAGGAGTAGTAGGTAGGGACTCTGTCCTCAGCGGTGTTTCTTACTTAACAATGACCCATCAAGTGGCCGGAGGGGCCATGGAAAACCAAGCACTTACTTGAGTTTCAGTTCCCTGGTGAGTTCATTCTGAGTCTGCTCTAGCTCTTGCCGCTCCTTGATGTGCTCTTCTTGGAGGTCATGGATCTCTGCCTTCACTGCCTGAAGCTTGGAGAAGAGCTGGAAACCATGGGAGAGGCAAGTGAGAAGGGTTCCCTCCAGACACAGGAGTTCTCTCTGCCCCCCTACCCACCCCAAGTCTCAAGACACTTTTGCCTTGTCCCAATCCCTTATACCTTTTTGAGTTTTTTGGTCTTGATGTCCACTTCTTGCTGCAACGAGCTGTAGGTCTCTTTAAGTTCCAAGGTCTCCTCATCTCGACTTTCCATTTGTTGCTGGATTTCTCTTTCTCGACGTTTCTGAAAACATGGCAGAAATCATCAGCTTGCCTAGAGATTGCATCTATACAATAATACAAGCCCCGAGCCCCAGATCAGGGTCTCCCACTAGGAAGGGGCTGACACATCTTGTTTCCCTTCACTTTGAAGAGTTTCATACGAGACAATTTGCTCTGTAGCATTAACACACCTTATTCCACCCCATCCCCACCCCCACCCCAAATGAGAAGTTACCTGCTCTGCAATTTCCTGCCGTTTCTGCTCCAGGATTTTCTGCTGTTCATTTGTATGATCTACTATATTTTTTCCTCCAACAAGCAGCTTACTCTCCATGGCCTGAGTGAGAAAAAAGTCAAATCCATCTCATGAATGGTCTCCCTCAGAACCAGCTCCTCACAGGGAAGCCCATGAAAGATAAAGAGTTCAGGACTGAGCCAAAAGGGGCGATCTCTGGAAAAAGTATGCTGTGCTCAGCTGTGCCTTTCCCATCACTGGGTGGGGCTGGGTGCCTCCACTGAGGGCTTTACCTTGGAAATGCTGATGACCAGCTTCTTCAGACATAGATGAATTTCAGATTTCTTTAAAAAGAGGTTGTTTTTTGTTTGTTTGTACAAAGTATTGACCCCACTTTGAACATATTAAGTACCTCCTATGTGAGAGGTACTGGGGGTGCAGCTGTGAACATGAATCACAAAGCTGAGACCCTGCAGAGGTAGGCAGGGTAGGCAGACCCTTACCAGATAGAGTCAGATGTCATCAATAGGGAAAAACAGAGTAATAATGGGAGAGGCTCACTGGAGGGAGAGAACTCAGACTTTTGGAGGGAGTCAGGGAAAGCTACTGTCTCAAGGGACTGCTACACCGAGTGCAGAAGTAAAAATAGGAATTAGCTAAAAAAAAAAAAAAAAAAAAAAACTTGTGTGTGAGACGGTAGAATAGGCAGTGGTGAAAAATAAAGCTGGCAAAACAGTCAGGGGTGAGTGAGTTCAAAAACCTCAAAGTCCTGTTGAAAGACTACACTTGAGCCCGAGAATAGTAGGAAGCTCTAATAAGTTCTCTGAGCAATAGGGTGCACAATCAGATCTGTTTGGGAAATATTACTCCTTTACAGCAGGAAAAATGACTATAAATGGGCAGACAGGGAGTCAGAGCAGACAGGAGGCATTTCTCAGGTCAGCAGGGCAGTAGCAGAGGTGGACAGGCCTAGAGACCCTGACCAGGCAAGATCCAGAGTCTGGGTGGTCATGGGCATCTCTGCGGAAATATCCAGTAGGTGGAAGCTACTGGGCTTGGATGTCAGAACACAGCTCTGGGCTGGCTAGGCACACTAGAAGCCTTCAGCATTTAGATGTGACTGAAGCCAAGGGAATGATTCAGGCCTGAAGAGCAGGGAATCCAAAAACTCTATAACCTGCTGTTATACTGAGGGCCTGTTGCCATCTTTCAGTGAGACCTTTGAGCCTGCTTCCTCTTCTTTCAAAACACAGGGGCTGGACAAGATTACTAGCCATACACACACCCCTTCCAACTCTAAAATCTTATATTTGATGATTTTACAGCATCCAAGGAATGAGAAAGACAGAAGTCATGTCATTCTCCCATACACAAAATGCCTAAGAGTATCTCTGGGTCTTGCCACACCAGCCTAAGAGCTGCCTAAATACCCCAAGTTGTTTAGAGAGCCTGGGTGTTCCTGGGCCTGAATAAAACATGTAATGCTAAAGAACAAGTCAAACACGGGCATAGTCAGTTGCACTTCTAGGGCAGGAGTGAGGGGTATAGAGGCAACTGGGCATAATGGAATCCCACAGAAAGCCCTTTCCTGGAACAGTTACCTCCTCAATGTGTTGTACTATATAACTGTATTTTCATATCACATCTTGAACGTCCTCAAAGGGACTTTCAAGTTTTAAGATCCATGGTCTCTGAAGTAAAATAATACCAGCTCTTCATATAGTGGGGGAAAGAAGATCATTTGTTATTTTTAAATTAATAAACATGGATACATTTTAGGGCAGAAATCAAAGTCTGCATAAATTCAACAAGATAGAAGCTAACACTTCAAAGGAATTCTGGCTCAGTTAGGCAGCGCCATCCTCTAGCTGGCTTTCCAGAGCTCGCTAGCTAGCTCTGTGGCAGCACAAGCCCAGGCATTGATGGAATGGACACTGACAAGAGTGCCTCAACACAAGGAGTGCCTCCATGCTCTAGAATACTCCTCAGCTACTGGCACATGGGGGTTGGAGGTTGGGGGAAGGAGACACTACAGGTACTACAAGCAGGGGCGGGGGGTCTGGAGAACTGCTCTGTATCTTGTATAATCAGGGCACTGTGTGTTAAAACCACAATGAAATAGCATTTTGTTTATCTACCGGCTAGACAAAAATTAAAGTCTGATCATCACAAGTGTTGGCAAGGATGCGAAGTGACCAAAACTCACACCCTACTAGTGGAAGCTTCAATTCCCAAAGCTACTTTGGACAATAATTTGTCATTATCTAATAAATAATAGAGTTGAGGCTAGACATACACTAGGACCTAAGGGTATCAGATAAGACATGTTTTCCCGGAGCCAAGTACAAGAATAATCATAGCGAAAAACAGGAACAATCCACACCTACCAGGAAAATGGAATACCATGGAATTCTCAGGACAGTAACAATGAATGAATCACAGCTATAGACGACCATAAGGGTAAATCTCATTAACATAATGTTGAACAAATAAAAGCAAATCAAGGCAGTGGGATTGCATTTATATAGAAGTAAAAAAATTGTATGAAACTAAAACTATCATTGATTTAGATATAGATGCCTACATGGTAAAACTGTAAAGAAAAGCCAGGAAACAATAAAGCCAAGATAACCACTAGCTCTGGGAACGGGCACAAAGCTTGTGAGGATGGATGCGGCTCTAGTCCTCACACTGCACGACTACATGGCTGTGGCTGTTAGTTTTACTGTTCTTCGTTGTACCCATGCAATAATTATTCTTCCTATGAAGTCAAAACTGACTATTTTAATTTGAAAAAAAAAATAATGATTCTTCTTCTTTGCAACCCAACACATGTGTATTGAGCACCAACTATCATGGTGTGGCTCAAAATACAAAACTGAAAGGAACAGCCCATCTTTCATATTATTTTTTGATGAAACAAAAAGTTTTGACAGAAAAAAGGGCCCGGGGCAGGGGATGTACCTTGATCTTGGCGCCCAGCATCTCGGCAGCATCCTTCTCCCGCCGCAGGTCCTCCATCTTTTTCTCTTTCTCCTTCAGCAGCCTCATCTTCTCCTCTGCAACCAAGCTGTGATCTTCCACAATGGCCCGCTTCTCAATCTCCAGTTTTTCTTGCTGTTCCCGCCAGTAATCATCCTTATCATCCCCTTCCTCCTCACCCTCTTCTCCCTCCTCCTCCTCCTCTTCCCCAGCCCCACCACTGCCACCACCTTCCCTCCGCTTCTCTCGCTTCTTCCTTCTGCCAATGGATCTTTTTTCCAGCTGGGCCTTGAGCCGAGCAATCTCTTCTTGGAATTCTCGCAGGAGGGCATCCTTAGGGTCCTCATTAACCCTTGGCTTGTTCTTAATGTTTTTGGCACGGTTGGCATATCTCAGAGTGGTCAGAGTCTCTTCTACATTGTAAGAGGCAGGCCCCACGTTGGCTACCATCACAGTTTTAGCATTGCCACCAAGAGAATCTTGGAGGAGCCTAGTAAGCTTTGAGTCCCGATATGGAATGTGAGTGCTTTTGCCATCTACCAGGGCAGAGATAACATTACCCAAGGCCGAAAGGGACAGGTTGATCTTGGTCGCCTCCTTCAACCTTTCCCCTTGTGCACCAGTCTTGGCTTGCCGTTCGCTGCCAGCAAGATCTACAAGGTTCAATTTCCCTACACGGATATGATTTTCACCATCAAGGCCTACCTCACTACACTCGATGGTGATAACAAAAATTGCATGAGAACGGGAACTATGCTCATTCATGTTGGTAGCACCCACAGAACGGTTCTGGTTCCCCACATTCATCACGTGTTCTATTTCCTTCACGCTCTTAGTGACAAAAGAAGACAGGTCTTTCACATACACCCCAGTGTCAGGCCTCTCTTTGAGCTCAAGCCTTTTGGTCTGATCCTTTGACAGCAGATCTCGGATCTCCTCCTGGTAGATCTCTAAGTAAGAAGCCCTGACCAAGTACTGTTGATTCTGGGATCGAGAGATATGGGTAAAAATGTGGTCAAATGAGTTAGGGATGACCCCTCTTTTTCAGGGTCACCCCGGACTCCTTCCATTGTGTAAGTTTTCCCCGTCCCAGTTTGTCCATAGGCAAAAATCGTCCCATTGAAACCCTGCAGGACAGAGTCCACAAGTGGTCGGAATGTCTCGTCATAGAGTTCAAACTGCTTGGCATTCCAGTCATAGACGGCGTCAAAGGTGAAGGTCTTGGGCATTTCATGGGCCACTCCTTTGGGGTTCTTCACAGACACCTGCCCCAACTTCACGTCCACGTCCACTACCTTGTCATATGAAGCAGCCTTTTCCTTGCTATTCATAGGCCGACAGCGAACCACCACCCTGACAGACTCTGAGCTTTTTAACTTTGACATGATGAACTCTGACCAGGTCAATCTTGAAGGCTATGAATCCAAAATGCCTCACGATGCTAAGATCCTAGAAAGAAAATCAGAAGTAAGTAAGGACAGTAGAGTTGTCACTGGGGGCTGTTCAACAGCAGCTGACATACCCAAGAAACCTCCATCTTGCTAACCTTCTGATGGCTACATTTATTTTGCTAAAGGAATGATTCACAACACATTGATAAATACATTAATAACTTTAGCACGCTATATACTTCCTCACAGGACTTTAGCTAGCATCTATAGAAAAAATAAAAACTCCAGTTTACTAGTAGTGTTTAACTAGTTTGCCCTCTATTCAACCAACATTTTTATCTTACCTATACAATAAGGCAGCTGGAAATCTTTTATTTTTTATTTTATTTTTTTAAAGAGAACTTTTTTTTTTAATTTATTTTTATACAGGAGCCAGGGTACAGGCCAGAGGCACGAGAGGTTGAGAGGACCCACCAGAGACAGAGCGGGGAGCAGAATAGGCAGACAAACAAAATACACTGCTGAGGGGAGCAGCAGGCGTGACAGGAGAGGTCTGCCACGCCATGTGGGAATCTCCCTGGCCGGCCGGGAATCAAACCCACGCTGCAGAGGCTGTGGACAGCTTCATAGCACTGCACTTAACCCGCTGTGCCACCGGGGATGCCCTGGAAATCTTCTAAAAGTCTGAGTGATACTATACAGTCAAATATCACATAGTGACAGGGCTACATTCTAAAAATGCATCACGAAGTAATCTTTGGGGTATTTTTATTTTAATTTTTAATTGAAGTAATACTTTATATAACATTATCAATAGGCGATTTTGCTGCTATATATCTATCACAGGCTGTAGTTACACACACCTAGGTGGTCTGGCCTCCTACACACATAGGCTATATGGGACACCCTATAAGGACCACCATTGTATAAGTGGACAGTCATTGACTGAAACGTTATTAAGAGACCCAAGAGACCTGTTCAACTACCACTATCTCTACAAAGAGCAATTTGGAACTAGCTATCAAAATTTTTTTTTAAAGATTTATTTATTTATTTATTTATACAATCACTGGGTACAGTCAGAAGCACGGAGGGTGAGAGAATTCACCAGAGCCAGAGCAGGGAGCAGAGCAGGCAGAAGGACCGAAGTACACTGCTGAGGGGAGCAGCGGGCAGCAGGAGAGGTCTGCGCGCCATGTGGGACCCTTCTCCAGTGGCCGGGGAGCAGCCGGGGATCGAACTGGCGCTGCAAGAGGTCGCGGGCAGCTTCGCAACCCAGCGCTCAACCGCTGCGCAACCAGGGAGGCCCACTATCAAAATTTTTAATGAATACACCTTTTGACCATGCAGTTATTTTTTCTTTTTTTAAAGATTAATTAATTAATTTATTTATACAAGAACCGGGGTACAGCCCAGATGCGCAGGAGGGTGAGAGGATTCACCAGAGACAGAGGGGGGAACAGAACAGGCACTGACAAAGTACACTGCTGAGGGGAACAGCGGGCGAAGCAGGAGAGGTCTGCTGAGCCATGTGGGACCCTCACCAACCAGCCGGGATCGAACTGGCGTTGCAGAGGCTGCGGACAGCTTCATAGTGTGGCGCTCAACTGCCTGCACCACTGGGAGGCCCCAGTTAATTTTTTCTAAAGATTTATTTGTGCATACAAGAACTGGGGTGTAGGCCGGAGACGTGGGAGGTAAGAGGATTCACCAGAGACAGAGTGAGGAACAGAACAGGCAGATCTACTGAAATACACTGCTGAGGGGAGCAGTGGGTGAGACAGAAGAGGTCTGCTGAACCATGTGGGTTAGCTCCCCGGCAGGGGATTGAACTCATGCTGCAGTAGCTGGCAGTATAGCTTGACAGCGCTGAGACTTTAACCCCTGGGCCACCAGGGAGGCCTTCCAATTAATTTCTAAGAATTTATCCTAGATATAAGGACATTAGTTGTAGCATTATTTGTGGTACCAACGAGGGCTAAAAAAAATAATTTTATAGCAATATATATAGTGGAATCCTATGCAAGGCTCTAAAAGGAATGGGCTAACCTAGATGCAATCCTATAATAAAAGTTGTTAGGTGTAAAAAGTAGGTAAGGAACAGTGTGTGCAGTGTAGTGTACAGGATGCACCAGGGAGATGCGTGCATGTTTATGTATGATACGCACAGTGTTAGAAATACATATGTGAAGGTGGTAATGGTGACAGCCTCAGCAGGGGCTAAGATTTAGAGGTCTGGGGAGATTAAAAAAACAAAACATTTTTCACTGTATATTCATTTGTGCTTTTTGATTTCCCTATTTGGTACTGATAATACTTTTCACTTCTAAAATAAATGAAAATTGATAAATGAAGTATAATGCATGACATAGAAAGCACCTATTTAAATCAATAAATTTAACAGAATTTGAGCGCAAATAAGAAAACAGTGCTGAAATTTTTAAGTTAAAACAAAAAGGAGAACTTATTTGGTACTGAAATACTGAGGTAGCAGAAGAAATGATTATTTACAGTTCCTTTGGGACAGAGGAAGGAGCAAGAAAATCAGAGTAAAAAGGTACATATGAAGACCCTCAGACTCCTGAAAATTCAGTCCAGAGGTTAAAAAACAAAAGGTAATTCACATGGTTCTTGATTTAAAAGGCCCTTCCGTGGGGCCTCCCCGGTGGCGCAGCGGTTGAGCGCTGGGTTGTGAAGCTGCCCGCGGTCTCTGCAGTGCCGGTTCAATCCTGGCTGCTCCCCGGCCACCGGAGGAGGGTCCCACATGGCACACAGACCTCTCCTGCCACCCGCTGCTCCCCTCAGCAGTGTACTTCGGTCCTTCTGCCTGCTCTGCTCCCCACTCTGGCTTGGTGAATTCTCTCACCCTCCCGCGCTTCTGACTGTACCCAGTGCTTGTATGAATAAATAAATAAATCTTTAATAAATAAATAAATAAATAAATAAATAAAAGGCCCTTCCGGATAGAGGTCCCTTCCCTGGCCTGTTCTCCAGGTATCTAGGTCCCTGCCCACAAGGCAAGTGTTACTAGATTTTTAAACTTTCTGAGGGAGTTTATTTATAACAAGTAAATATCTATTAATGCGTTCTTACCTCTCCCCTTTTACACAAGCATTGTATGTTATACACACTGCACAGTGCTGCATCTGACTTTTCTCACTAAATAACACATCTTGACATTTGTTCCCTCAGTAACAGTAGAATCCTATACTTTCTATGACAGCAGCAAAACAGTCCACTGCATGGAAGCATCATCAATTACTCAACTACTCTAGCACTTCAGCTGTTTCTGATATTTTGCCATGAAAAACATAAGACATCCTTTCATGTGGAAATGATACTGTAATGATAAATTCCTAAAATTGGTTCCAAGAATTGCTGGACCACAGGATATATTTGTAATTTCAACAGATACTTAGAACAATGATAACAGTATTCTTTTTAGCTGAGAGGACAGACCTATTCCCTGACAACAAAAGGACAGGAGGATTCGCAGCACCTAGGTTAGTAGACACACTGTGTCAGTCCTACCTGGAAATACAAAAGTTACTTTTCATACTGCTAGCTGTTACATGAAGTAAAATAAAATGGTCTAGAATGAAGGAACAGAACACTTCTTATATTCTCTGAACCTGTTTTCTGTAAAACAGTGGTAATTTTCCTTCCTCATGGATAACTGTGAGACTGACAGGCACTTCCAAAGGTAGAAGTAATGTGTGAGCTAAACTGGTTTAAAATTAATTAATCAAACCTTGTCAAAGGATCATTCCAGAGATTACATGTGAACCCTAATTGTATGCATTCAACATCAGTAGACCAACAGTTTCTCGTGCTCAGTTTGCAGTCATCATAAAGAAAAATCAGATTAAATTGAGGTCCAAATACCTAACCATTGTCCAGCTAGAAATAAATCTCACACACAAAAAAGTAAACCTCAAGCCATTTAATGAAAACTATGTAAAAGGCAGCCCATCGGCTCATTCATCATCTTCGAGATGCTATCAGAATTTTGCCAGATGAGAAGAAAGAACCAATTATTAGAAAGGCCAGTCTGTCTGCTGGGCCTCCTTTTCATTTGTAGGGCAATGGCCCCCAAGCTACAGCTGTGGTTGATCCCTTCCTGGCTCTCCCTCCATTTCAAAAGAGGCCTGCAAAAGCTGGTCTAGGTGCCAATTTCAAACCCCTCTACCCCATATATCCTTTGCAGAGGCCTCTGCACAGTGCATGGAAGATTTAGACAAGATCCCAGGCCTGAAGAGACATGTAAGGGGAGGTGGTGGTGGGAGGGGACTAATTATTCTGCATTACATACACCTAAGGAAGCCAAGCTGTCCAATTCTTTTACCTATCACAACAGTGTGGTGCCAAGGCTGCATGCAGCAGGCTGACCTTGATGTTCAGCTACTTCTGTCACAATCCCACAGATTTTTGAGCCCTCCAAAAGGATAAAAACAAAGGAATGATAATGACCTACACTATTCCCAAAGTATGAGTCCCATTAATTAAATCTCCTAGACTCTGAACATAGAACACCATCTCTTTTCTGAGCTCAATGAGCTCAACCGAACTAACTAGTCATGTATTGTTGATATATTATTTCAGGAAGATGGGCTAATTTAATTTCCTGCCACCAGGGCTTACAATCTAGCCCTGGGTTCTCCTCAAAGGAGAGTGTTTTCTTGGAAGGATGTCTTGATACTTTCTTTATTGCCTTCCTTATTCTTCTTCTAGCTGGTCTAATTACAGTGGTGATTCTTTAGAAGAACTCACAGCATTGTCAGTAAAGACAGAGCTACAGGTCAGGCAGTTGGCTCATCACCTTTATCCTGAATACCTTTTCGGTCAGACCTTGTCATTCCAATGTTTAACAACCACAGTTTAAAGTGGCTATTACACATGAAAATTGAGTTTTTCCCCCATCCTCATCTGTTTTATTGCTGTGGAAATCACTAGCACATTTTGCATGGCAATCACACTCTTCCAGAATGTTCTCTAACTGTTACAAGTGTGGATTCATGCACTCTCACCTTAGCTAGTTGTCATGGAGTCTTACTAACTAGAACTAGATGTTGATTGGATTTTCAATAATTCTTGGTTTCCTATAGAGATTCTAAGACAGAGGTCACAAACTGGTCAGATTTTACCTGAAGCATTTTATTTGGTCCACCTGTTATTTAAAAAAACAAACAACACTCAGCAATTCCATATCTGTGTATGTATATGTCCTGGTGAATAACCTTTGCACATACATATCAGGAAACAAGTACAAGAATGCATCCTGCAGCACTGTTAAAATAGAAAAACTGGACAAAATCTGCTTATATGGAAATTGAAAAATAAAATAAGGTATATTTATATTATAGATAATAGTCTTATTTATTTATTTTTTTAAGATTTATTTTATTTATACAAGAGCTGGGGTACAGGCCAGATGCGCAGGAGGGTGAGACGATTCACCAGAGACAGAGTGGGGAGCAAAACAGGCAGACTGACGAAACACACTGCTGAGGGGAGCAGCGGGCCAGACAGGAGAGGTCTGCTGCGCCACATGGGATTCTCGCCAGCCAGCCAGGATTGACCCCGCACTGCAGAGACTGCAAACAGCTTCACATTCCGGGGCTCAACTGCCTGCGCCACCAGGGAGGCCCGATAATAGTCTTATTTAGCAGTAAAAGAAATAATTTAGAAGAGTCCACCAACCGCTGCCCACAGATCAAATCTGGTCCACAGCTTGTTTTGTAAATAAAGTTTTATTGGACTACAGTCACATTGTTTGTTTACAATTATATCTGGCTTCATTAGTATCCACACACCTCTGCTGTAACTACACAAGTCTGCTATTTTGTATTTTTATAGCAGAGTAGAGTAGTTGCAACAAAATGGTCTCAACAATAAAACCTAAAATATCTACTACCTGATCTTTTACTGAAAAAATTTAACACCCTGAATTAGAGTTTTAGAGAGCTAAACATAGATATGGCTATGGATATATATTTACATGAATAAATAAGCTGCATGGAAAAGTAAGTAGCAGAAGGATAATTATGATTAAAAACTTACAAGACAACATGATGCTCAAGCATTTGCATTTAAGCATATATGTATAAAAAATTAGGTAGAAGAATATACAACTTATGATAGTGACTGCACAAACTAGGCAGGGGGAAATACGGGCAATGTCTAAAAAATGGGAAGATTATTTCAATTTCATCTTTAATATTGTCACTTTTTTTAATTGGGTAGGAGAAGGAACAAGGTTTCATGCAAATAAGAGAAAATATTCTTGACTTTCAACTCTGGCTATTCCCAACACTATTCTCTAAATGTTTAAAATTTCTGAAGGAACGGCCCTCCCCCCAACCAATTTTGCTTTATTAAAAAGAAAAAAACAACAGACTTTCTGCTTCTCTGTAAGTATGGGAATACTGACAGCCCTTGGCCTGTGCCCCAAGTGGCAGCAATGGGAACTGAGCAACAGCTGCCTCTCTGGCTAACCTGGGTTTGTCAATCCTTCCCAAGTCCCACTCCCTACTGTCTCTCACCCAGCATGCTTTGCTCATTTATGACTCCTGCCTGGCTTCTGTAAAACATCTCATGTTATAAATGATCTGATTAAGAAAGGATTTACCAAAGCTCGGTAATGGCAAGGAAAATGCTTATCATAAATGAAAAAGTTTACAAAATCGACTACATGTAATCACATGTAGTATAATGTAATGTAATCAGATGCACATGAAAAGAGCAACAGTCCTCTTTGAGTGATGGGACTACAGGTGATATCCCCCGCTCTTTCAACATTTCTGTATTTTCCAAATATTTTAACAAGCAAGTGGTATTGTCAAATGGGGGAAAATAAAGATCTGGCAACAGGAACAGCCTTGCAAGGAAGAGCAATCTGTGGGCACACAGAATGCATACTAATGCATCTTTAATCAATGCGTTCCAATGCAATGCCTCTTAGATCTGACTAGGCAACCACCTGCCAACTGCCTGGTCTGGAGTTCAAGGACGCAGAGTGTCTGAAAGGCAGCCTGAGCTATAGCTCACATGAGCCATCAGAAAGGCCCTGCAACACTCCCAGCAAGATAAAAGCAACTCCCTCTTAACCAGCCCAAACCAACTCCCTATGCAGGTTTCTCTCAGGGGAAGCAGCTGTTTTTACTCAGTATCCAACTCATCACCATCAACACTACTGTTTCACAACCATTTTTAATTGTTTGAAGGACTCCTTGTTTGCAATCCCTGACTATACCAAGAGAACAAGTTCAATTCTGGGTCTCTGGTTCCCGTGATAGCCAATGGGAGTTACGCACTTTTCAAAACAAGTTATTCATTTCCAGTTGAAAAATAACACCACTGCCCTGCAGAACTTTTCAAAGGACATGGAATTTGTGCTGAGGGAATAGTTCTATATTTACTTATGTGTGCATAAAATATATCTGGAGGGATACAAGAGCCAGATGACAACATTGGTTGCCTGTAGGTGAAAGAGCTGGGTGGTTAGGGACCAAGAGAGGAGGGAGACTTGTCATTGTGGACCCTCGAGTTGTGAATCATGTGATTAGGCTACTTAGCCAGAAAAATAAAACTGGGGAAAAGGAGATGGAAAAATTTGTGAAATTACACAAACTAAAATTCAGGGTTAAAACTCAGTGATTTTCCTCTTTGCATCTGCCTGTTTTTTACTTATCACTTTGAATGTAAAATAATAAAAACGTTTTAGTTGATGAACAAGGGGCCCTAGGAGTAAAACTAGTCTCAACTTTATGGGGAAGCTTTACGAGAGAGCTTCTTTGAGGTCTACAGCAATGAAATCTTTAGCTTTCTCATGTCAAAGAGGAAATGTCATATATCCCCAAGCCCTCAAAGGTATTCAGAACAAAGATGTCAAATAGGGCCTCCCCGGTGGCGCAGCAGTTGAGCGCTGGGTTGCGAACCTGCCCGAGGCTCCGCGGCGCTGGTTCGATCCCCGGCTGCTCCCCAGCCACCGGAGGAGGGTCCCACATGGCGCGCAGACCTCTCCTGCCGCCCGCTGCTCCCCTCAGCAGTGTAGTTCGATCCCTCTGCCTGCTCTGCTCCCTGCTCTGGCTCTGGTGAATTCTCTCACCCCCCGCGCTTCTGACTCTACCCAGTGCTTGTATAAAAACAAAAAAAACAAAAACAAATAAATAAATACATGCCTCT